TCCTCTTCAGACTCATGAAACACATGCAATGCCGCTGAATACAAGAATCTCACAGGCCAGTGGGTGGGAAGTCTTGTGGTTCTAGTGGCCATTGTAAGCATCTCAGCGCTGGCAGTGCTTTCCTCGTGGCTTCTCTAGCTCAGGGTGCTAATGTGTCTAGTCACTGCAATGTCTCCCAAGGAGTGAGCAGAATGAGAGAGTGTCTCCCACCTCCAAGGGGGAAATACAGAAGTTCCCAGCATCCTCAGGAGAAGGCCATGCCCAACAGACGCCTCATTGGCTGTGACCTGATTGACAGGCTAGACTGCACCCCTTCACTCTTAATCCTCTCAAATTGACAAACCATTGATTCTAAAACTACTACACCAACGAACTAATGCATTTAAAATATGGTGTAGACAAAAATATGGAAATTCCCATGGATTTCCAGAAGAATAAATAAATATGCCTTACAAGTACAAACAAATGCTCCTTAGAAGCCAGGATATCTTCACTTCTCTCATATTTTGACATGTCATTGACCAATCGCTGGAGAAGGATATCACTGTGGTAGAGGATCCAGGAGAAGACGTAAGACCCTCAAGGATAAGGATTGACAAAAGTGGCTCCAACATTGGTCTCAAATACTGCAACACTTGTGAGGATGTTGCAGGACAGGGCAGAGTTTGCTTCTGTTAAACACATGGTTAGTATGACTGAGAACTGGCTTCACAGCATCTAACACAACACATGCCCTGTGAGCATCCGGAAGGCAAGGCCTTGACTTGAGCAGCTTTAGGGATCCTGCATCCTTCAATGTGCCCTGGGTCCCCAAGGTGCTGTGTGCGTGGGTAGGTGGGTGGGGTGGGGAGGAGTTGAGGAGGTTGTAACACACTGAGCACCCTCTCCAGACTCATTGGTTTCACAGCAAGAGCCCTTGATAGTTTCCAAACAGCTTTAAAAATCTCTGAGGAAAGATAAAGCCGAAGAAACGCAGAAACGTGTTCCACAGGCTTTCCTAACACTATTGGGAGGAGGGAAAGAAGTGATTTTAACTAAGACCCAAATCAGAGACCAAAAGAAACATGATTTTAAAATGGCTCCGTTTTTAATGTTTTCTGCCCTCTCTTTGACTGAGGTTTTTCCAGGCTTTGTCTAGTCATTGTTGGTTGTTTGTTTGCTTTGTATGGTTTTGTATGATTGTGTTTTACTTTGTGTGATTTTCTGTATAAGAACTCCAGGACAGGTAGCTCTACAGAGATGGTAACTTGATTGGGGGATGGCAGGGGAGAATGGGGGAAATGCAGGAGCTAACAACAATGAATATGAGAAGAAAATGTTCGGTAGTCACCTAATCTGATGTCCATTTAAGGATTAAAGAGTGTAGGGGTGGAGTCTAGGCTGTCAATCTGGAGTTAGCCAATGAGACTTCTGTGGGCATGGCATTCTCCTGAGAATTCTGGGAAATCTGGTACTTCCTTCTTGGAGGCAGAAGACATCTCTCTCTCTGCTACTTCCTGGGAGACAATGCAGAAGATAAGCTACATGGATGCAACCAGACTTCTGAAGCCAGAGAAGCCGCAGAGAGACCCCTGCCAGTGCTGAGATGATTACAACGCCACTGGACCCAAAGACGTTCTACTCACTGGCTGGTGATTGTCCCACATTTGGCTTCATTGCGTGTGTATTGTGAGTCTGAAAAGGACTTTAGAGGTTGCTATCAGACATATGGACTAATATCAGACTTATGGACTTGATCTGGACTGGGCTGGGATGTATTCTCGGTGTTCAATTGCTCTTGTGTATAAATCTCTTTCTGATACACATATGTATGTCCATGGATTTGTTTCTCTAGTCTACCCAGGCTGACACATGTTGCAAAATTGATTGTGGTGGTGACTGCACAAATCTTCCTAATATGATTAAATCATTTTATGGTAAGGTCTTGGGGGGGGGGGGCGGAACTACTATGAGCCATCTCTTCCTAACTATGAATAAAGAACACAGACAATAACAAGTGTTGGTGGAAACATGGAGTGATTGGAACCCCTTCCTTTCCTTTTTTAAACTGATAAGAACAGATAGTACACTTGATCTTAGCCAAAAGGCCGAAAAGTGATGCCCTTCCTTTTTTTAACAATCATTTTGTTGGGGACTCTTATAGCTCTTATCACAATCCATACATATATCCATTGTGTCAAGCACATTTGTATAAGTTGCCAACATCATTTTCAAAACATTTTCTATTTGAGCCCTTAGTATCAGCTCACTTCCCCCCCACCCATTCTCCCTCCCGCATGCACCCTTAATAATCTATCTTTTTTTTTTCATGTCTTACACCATCTGCTGTCTCCTCTCACTCACCTTCCTGTTGTCAGTCCCCCTGGGAGGAGGTTATGTCAATCATTGTGATCAGTTCCCCTTTTCTCCCCCAACCTTCCCCTTGCCTTCCTGGTATTGCTACTTTCATTGTTGGTCCTGAAGGGTGTATCTGTCCTGGATTTCCTGTGTTGGAAGCTCTTATCTGTACAGTTTACATGCTGTGATCTATCCCGATTTGTAAGGTAGAATTGGGGTCGTGATAGTTGGGGGGAAGAAGTATTAAAGAACTAGAGGAAAGTTGTGTGTTTAGTCAGTGCTATACTGCACCCTGACTGGCTCATCTCCTCCCAGAGACCCTTCTGTAAGGGGATGTGATTGGAACCTTTTTCTACTGTGGTGTGTATAAGTTTATGTAAAACCACCACTGGAGATTCCCTTGCAGAGGGGTCTCGGGGAGGAGATGAGCCAGTCAGGGTGCGATGTAACAACAATGAGAAATACAACTTTCTTCTAGTTCCTAAATGTTTCCTCCCCGCTCCCACTACCATGACTCGAATTCGACCTTGCAAGGCTGGCTAGACCAGAGGAGGTACACTGGTATAGATAGGAACTGAAAATACAGGGAATCCAGGGCGGATGAGCCCTACAGGACCAGTGGTGTGAGTGGCGAAACAGGGAGGGTGGAGGGAGAGTGGGTAGGAAAGAGGGAACCGACTACAAGGGACTGACTATATGTGACCTCCTCCCTGGGGGACGGACAACAGAAAAGTGGGTGAGGGGAGATGTCAGACAGGGCAAGGTATGACAAAATACCAATTTATAAACTATCAAGGGCTCATGAGGGAGGGGGGAGCAGGGAGGGAGGGGGAAAATGAGGCCCTAATGGCGGGGGTTTAAGTGGAGAGAAAATGTTTTGAGAATGAAGTACAAATGCGCTTTACACAATTGATGTGTGTATGGATTGTGATAAGAGTTGTATGAGCCCCTAATAAAATGTTTAAAAAAAATTTCTAGAAACTAAAAAAAAAAAAAAAAGTTTATGTAAAACCGTTTCTCAGAAACAGCTTGCCGCTTCTCAGAAGGTTAGATATACAGTATACTTCTCCATTGAGGCTTTTCTATGATGTATTTTGTTATTTTTTTTTCCTTTCTGTGGTTGTATGTTTTTCTTTATAGGAAATCCAGGATAGGTAAATCTAGAGAGACAGTAATGAATTAAGGGGGAAGTGGGGAGCTGATAACAACCAGTACAAGAAAGAAGAAAACCTTTGAAAATTGCTTGTAGTGATGATTGCACAACTCGTTTCAATATGTCTACACTACCGTATGACCTGTGGATTATATGTCAGTAAAACTGACAGTGCATGGCACCGAGAAGCACAGAGGTCCCTGGTGAACAGCAGCACAGCCCAACGAGCTGTTCTTCGTCCACTGCGGGCAGCCCAGCGCGAATATGGGACAGGTTGCTCATCATCTCCAAGCCTGACTCCAGAAGGAACTCCAGTCTTCAAGCTGTTCGGTAGAACGGAGTCCCTTGTTGGCCCAGGTACAGTCCTTCCTCCCCCAGATGGCCCAGGAGAATGAGAAGCTAAGAAAAGAAAGGCCAGCCGCCCCCAACCCCACCCCTCCCGCTCTTTGGTATGATATTGAAAATATTGATGAGACTTGGAAAATTTATACAAATGGGTGTGGCCTTATTTGAGATGAATCATTCGGGCGCAAACGAAGAGGAGAGTTCAGAAGAGAGTGCTCAGGGTAGCTCTGGGAGCAGCTGGGAATCCGAGGTCAAGGACATAAGCTTCCCTGGCGAAGTCACCATGGTGAACATGAAACTTCCTCATTCCGAAGGTGGCAAAGCAAGATAGAAGTTTTGGACGGTCCCGCAAGTAAAAAGAAGGGGTGACAAGAAGAGTCCGTAAAGCAAACCAGATGCTGTGTGCCTGCTGAACGTGCGCAGAAGGCGGTTCTCGCGGACAGTGTGCATTTGAGGTGTCTGTGGTTGGACATCTGGTGGTGCGAGTGAAACACGAGCTGGCATTCAAGGACCTGGGCAGAGGTAGACCTCGGAGCTGATGTGGGTTTGGGACCAGACCACCGCAATAAATCAAGTCACGTCGTTTTTTTTTAAAACAATAACTGTTTTTAAAAAACTTTTTTTTTTAATAGAAGAAAAGAAAGAGGTAGTGAAGCAGGGAGAGTCTGTAGTCTCTGGTGACCCTTCATTTCGTGAGCGGTCAGCTCCATCTGCTCCATCCAGGGCACCTGGAGGCTGAGATGCTAATGTCAAGACCTGCCTGGGAATTTTCACTACAGAGCCAGGAGTGACAACCCCAATCCCTGGGGAGTAGATTCCCATTTAGAGTCACTGGTTGGGACACTGGCAGAAGTGCCCCCTAGGATTTTCAAGTCTGTAGAGCTTTACCGAAGCGGATTGCTACGTGTTTGTCACGCAGAGCTCCCCACCTAGTGCTGAGCCGCTGGTGCTTGGACTTCGGGTCATCAGGGCTCCCTTAGCGCCACATGGCGGAGGTCAGAAGAGTGAGAGGGAAGGGGTGGGAATGGGGGTACAAAAAAAAAGGTGTAACAGGTAAAATAAAAATAAAAAATCAAAACCAAACCCCAAACTCAGATCTTGACATTGATGAGAGTGGCTGAAAAAGGAGGGAAAGTAAAAAAGCTTCCAAACAACATGACGCCACATGGGGTGACGGATTTGCAGGACGCGCGGCTTGGCCGGGACGGGGCGGGCTGGGGGCGGGGACAGGGCGGGGAAGTCGCCGGCTGACGGAAGCCGGGGGCCAGTGTCGCGGTGCCCCAGGTGGAGTGCGGGTGCGTGGGGAGCAGGCGGCTTCCAGGCCGGCCTTGAACTACGTGAACCTGGGCGCGTTGGAAACGCCGGGTTCCGCTACCCGGAGGTGCCCCGCGGCGAGATTCACGCGGAACCCGGGGGGCTAGAGCCCGGGCACCTCGCCATCGCGGCGAAATTGCTTTCCTTTCTCCGCGCCCCAGGGTGGCGCCCGGGCCGATCGCCAGCAAAGTCGGGCGGGTGGGCGGACCTCCTCGCCGCCCGCGATCGGTGCCGCCAGGATCGCGCTCTCGGGATGTGCGGAGAGCGGCGCGGGGCGCCATCGGAGCGAGCGGGCGCCGGAGCCCGGCAGCCCATGGAGGGCAGGGGCCGTTCCCGAGTGGCGCGGCGCCGGAGCGCTTCCAAGCGGATCTCGCGGAAGGTGGATCCCCGAGGGGATCGGGGCGATGGAAAGAGTGCTGAAGAGCTGGGGTCGCGGGGAGCCGCCGGACACTTCCCGCGCTCCCGCCGCCTGGCCGGACGCGTCCCGGGCCCCCCCGGGGCCCACCTAGCCGGGCTCAAGGTCCCCAAGAAACTGCTCCTGATTCTCCTCCTGCTCGTCTTGCTGGTGAGTCAGAGAAGGGGGGCAGCGGGCAGGCTGCCCAGGCGGGCGGGGCGGACTCCTGGGTTTTCCGGACGTGCTCAGCGGAACGTTAAGGTGACAGAGAAGACACCAGGGTCAGATAGGAGGAGGTAGCGGTGTCTTCCTCCACAGAGATCAGGATTGAGCCCATCAGACACAACCCAGAAAAAAAGACCCGAGGGAACAGTATTGGGAAAACAGAAAAAGACACGGACATTACTTGGAAGTCAGAGGATTGTCAATCTGAAAGGGCTGGTATTTAGACGCGCAAGTCAAGTGGTGGCATTGCAGTGAGTTCCTTCATGTCGCCCCCCCTCCCCAAACCGGTGTGCCCACGTGAGCTCCATAGGAATTTGAATGGCTGTGTGTTGGCTCCAGTTAGATCTGTCCCTCGTGGGAGAGATATACCTCAGTCCTTGGCTTCCCGCGAGAAAGAATTCACGCCTGGGTTGTGATCCCAGTGAGTTTTATGAAAGCTAGAAGCAGTTTTGGGTTCTACAGTAGATGGAACGCGAGCCAGACAGAGTCCCCCACCCGGTTGGCAAGGTTGGCGTGGTCCACGCTGAACTGTGTGAGGAGGGGCTGGGAGCCCATGGAGGTGAACCTCTGATTCTTCAGGGCCCCCTTGCGAGGTGTAGTGGACAATACTGGTCGACTCCATTGGCTGAATGAGATTCACCTGGCTTAGATGGGCCCATCCAGGTGTAATGCCCACCCAGGTGGACCACCCCTTCCTGGCCAGGAGCTGGGACCCAACAGCTCTGCTTAGGCTTACTTATCTGCAATATCACTGAGGAATTCCCGCACTAGCCTAGCTGTCAGGACATATTTGAAAAGGTTTTTGAAATAAAGAGTTGGTGGGCATGGGAAAGGGCAGTCTTTTATCTTGTTGAGAGTCAGCTAAACTTTTTTAACATAAGCTGCTTCTGTTTTACCCTTCATCTTAAAAGAAGTATGTATTCTAAAATATTGTGAAATTATACTTTTAAAGTTGCCAAACCTTTACAAAACACTTTCCCTTGAACTATGTGAAAGGAAACAGCTGCTTTGCTGCTTGTCCTCCCTGAGTAGGAGAATGTGTGCTATCTTGCAACAAGACTGACTGCCTCCTCACACCCTTTCTGTAGGTGTAGAGTCTGGAGCGCAGGACCACCGCCAGAGAGCAGAGGATTGATTTCCATGTAATGAGTTCTGCTGGGTTTCTGACTTGCTTGGTGCCTGTTATCCTGACTGTCCCATTTCTCCCATTTATCATGGGAAATTCCTGTTTGTCATGACATTTTTTTTTCATTGTGCCTTTTCTGCCAATGTGCTTTGGAGACTGCTAATCTTTAGTATAGACTTCATGGGCTCACAGTTAAAGTGGAAATTGCCCCAGGATGAAATATGATTAAATAAAGCCCATTTCCTTTAGATGATTCAGAAGAAGACATTTTGGATTTGGTGTTGATTTAAGATTTTGGAAATGCTATGATTGTGTGAATGTGTCTTGAATGCAACCAAGACATGAATTTTGAGGGATTGAGGAAATGTTATAAATTGAATTGTGCCCCAATCCAACACACACACATACACACACACACACACACACACACACACACACACACTACTTGGTGGGCTGCGAATCTCAAGGCCAGCAGTTTGAAACCACCAGGCGCTCTGAGGAAATAGATGGTGCTCTCGAATCCCGTAAACAGTTAACAGTCTGGGAAACTCACAGGGACTGTTAGGTTTCTGACATAGTTTATCTCCTTTCTTGTATCTCAGCGCTGAAAGAATTCACACGGCAAAAGCACCTTTGTAATCCAAGTATGGGAAGTACAGGCTCAGATAGCACATTGTTATCCCTGGAAAGCATGCAAGGCCCATGGCGGGGTGGGGGAGGGCTGTGGAGAATTCAAGGCTGAAAATGGGCACTTCAGGGGAGCAAGAAAAACCTCATGGAAAATGGCCCTTAAAGAGGAGTCCACAGAACCAAAAGAGTGCCTGAACCAAAACAGAAGGTGATGGAGAGAGTGCAGGCCCTGAGAGGACCTGGAGGTTCCACTCCCCTAACTGTGGGAGAGCACTTGAAAAAGGGTGCAGCCTGCCCTCAAACTGCTGTCAATCCCCTCCTAGCCCCACTTGGGGCCGGGCGTGGTTGAGGGTATTGGGTGAACTCAGTGATTAAGGTCAGGAGCACCTGTGGCATGATGTTGCTGGTGCCTGGTATGTAAACCTAGGTTGCCCTTCACCTGGGCCTAGGTGACTTGTGACTTTGGTCTGAGCATGCCCCGCTTTGGATCTTCCCCATGGGTGTCTACTGTGGGCCTGGGTTTTTTTGCATCCCTTTCCTGTGGCATGGGCGGTTAATTTTGGTTTAGGGTAGACATTCGGTGGAGACAACCCCCTTTATCTCTAGTTTCACTACTTTCACTACTGGGTGAAAGTCAGCATGGACTCTATGACAGTGAGTGAGTGAGCGAGTGAGCAAGTGAGCTTTGGTGTTTAATGTCACCTCCCAGTGTAGCGTCCTTGCTCAGGAGCTGTTGAGTCCCATCAATAACTACTCTGAGCCAACCTTAGGTACACACAACTGAATTTATAATCAGGCTGGTCCAGGAAGACACTCTCACAGTAAGCAGAACTAAATCTCAGTGCTTTGTCCATTGCCAAAATTTACAAAGTTGTTCGACTCAGTTGTTCTCTTAAAACGTTGACATACGGATGGGTGTAGTATTAAATTAAAATTGCACGGGGGAGTGGGGTGCCAGCCCCCACCTGCTGCTAGAACTCACTGGTTCAGTAAGTACAATTGTACGGTTGAGATATGTAAGTATTATATTAAAGTCATCGAGAGCATGAGAGATAGAAGAGATATTACAATGATGCAGTCAGACACATTACATGGTAGCATTGCGCACCTCAGCCCAGCTTGGTGGTCCACGTGGAGAGAGGGGGAAGGGAAGGAGGGCAAGGGAACAAGGGAGAGGGGGAAGAGAGGGGAGTGACCAGGGAGTGAGCAGCAAGGAGGGGAGATCAGAGTCAGAGCCGTCAGAGAGCTCTATATTGCTGACCCATGCCTATATACCTTTTGGGGACATGCCACCCCACTAATTACAGGTAGAGACATACGTCACAGGAAGGGATTACACTATAGGTAACACAGTAATGAGAGAGCGCTCTAGGGGGTGGTCTCTGGGTCTCCATAGGAACCATTATCAGTAGAGTGAAAACTCCGCCTACAGGAGCCTGTCCATAGTCCCCAGAGGCAGGGAGCAGGCCCACCCCTGTGGTGGGATGAGACAGCAGTCTGGCAATTGATTACCCTCAGGGGAGGGAACGCCTGTGTATCTGACTTCCCCCCACAGATGGGGATTCACACAGACAGAAGGAATAAAGAAATGTAACTATGGGAACTATATCACCAGTAGGGTGGGTCTACCACCCTTTTGACAAATGCTAGTTGGCTTTCTTCTGTTTGTAAAGAGCTACCTCTTGCTATTCACACCCTACGAAGTTCAGCAGGCCAGGGGTTGATTAGCATTTGAACACTCTTTGCCCTTCAAAAGACTGCCATACTTGTTAACCAGGGTAGGGGTGACATATAATGGTTTATGACTACTGGTTTATGTTTTATGATCCTCACATTAAGGATACAGGATTTGTTTAGCATACGTCTCAAGTCAACCTCTTTTGAGATATAAAAGAAATTAAACAAGAAAGCAAAAAGAAGTGGAGGAAGAGAGGTGCTAAGCCAGATGAAGATCACACAGGAGCAGAAGCTCAAAAGAATGAAAGACCTTCCTCCAAAATCAATAACACGAAAACCCAACCTGACTGGCACACTGATTTCGACTCCCAGTGCCCCTATAGGACAGGATGGCACTGCCCTTGTGGGTTTCCAAGGCTCTCTGTGGGAGTAAACCTCACTCAAACCCACTGTGCTACCAGGGTTCCCCCTGGCTGGCACCCTGAATTCGCACTGTGGCCTCCTAAACTGTGAGAAAGTAAATTTCTGTTTGTTAAAGCTAACCACGTGTGGCATTTCTGTCTGAGACTGGGTCTGTTTAGAGTTCCTATCTCTATTTGTATTAGGTAGGTAATGCACTTCTATAACTTTGAAAATCTAGAAGAAATGGATAAATTTGTTTTAATAATATTCGATGATATCCTTTTTATAATAGTTGGATCTGTTGTAATGTCTCTAATTTCATTTGCATTTTGGTTGTCGCATCTTCTTATTTTTTTCCTTTGCCAAGTTAGCCAGTTGTTTGTCAATTTTATTGATCCTCTAAAAGAATCAGCCCCTAGTCTTGATGATTCCCTCTGTTGTTTTTCTGCTTCATTTGTCTCTGTTCTGATCTTTATGAATTGCTTACTTCTGGAGGTTTGGGCCTTCTTTTATTCTTCTATTTGCTCAAGTTACTGGATGAAGTCATTGATTTGGGACCTTCTATTTTGATGTATGCATTTTTTCTTGTGCTATACATTTTCCTCTGAGAAATGCTTTTTACTGTATGGCAAAGTTTTTGATATGGTTTGTGTGCCTTAGTCTGGGTAGATTAGAGAAACAAATCCAGGGAGACTCGTGTATTAAAAAGAGCTTTATATACGAGAGCAACTGTACATTAAGAAAACATCCCAGCCCATGCCAGACCAAGTCTACAAGTCCAATATTAGCTCATATCTCTGATACCAGTCTATAAATTCCTCATCAGACTCAAGCAACACATGCAATGACGCCTAATACAGGAAGATCACAGGCCAGTGGGTGGAAAGTCATGTGGATCCAGTGGCAATGGAAGCATTTACAAGCTGATAGGGGTTTCCACATGGCTCCTCCAGCTCCAGGGCTGCAGTGTAGCTCCATGTGTCTTCTCAACAGGAATGTCTCACAGGGAGTGAGCCTGTGTTCCACCTTCAGCGAGCTATTTATCTCCTTAGCGCCTCCAAATGATGTTATCAAGCTGCAACCTGATTGACAGGCTAAACTCCACCCCTTC